CTTCTTCATTTTTCGCACTTAGATGACAGTTTTGTTATCAATCTCTGATATTTTTAAATTTCACATATATATTGGAAGACTTGACAAAAGTTCTTTCAAGTGAATTAAAGATTAGTTATTTGTTGCAGTACAATACCTTGATTATTCTTTTCTAAAATGTTATAGGTAGATAATAAGTTTCAACTAATTTAATTCAAAGTTTTAAAATATCAGATAAGACTCTTTGACATATAACTAAAAAGTTATATATTTGATTTTTTTTTACTATCTCCCTAATGTCATGACTAGATAAGGGGAAAAAAGAGGAACTTTCACAAATAGCCACTATAATAAACTTAATTATGCTCCATAACTATAGTTTGCATATTTATGGGCTGTAGCTACAATTTAAGCTATCACGTTTGTATAATTCGCGGATTTGTATAAATTCGCAGGTTTGTTGGAACATCTTGCAATTTGAAATAGCTAGGAAGAAGCTAAGAACTGGAAATAGTCATTTCTGGAAATTTGTTTAAGTTAGGAAAAGTTGAGTTTTGGCCAACTTCAAACGGCCATAACTTTTGGTTCAGGATGAGTTAGAGGTACTTCCAGATATGGTAGGAAATATCTTGGAATGATCTTTCCAACGCCGCCGAGTTTGCGCGATTCCGAGTTCGTATGAGTAAGATATTCCCTTTGGAAGTTGGGTTGTTGGATTAAGGAAAGTCTAAATCCGGATTTTAAAAGGGTAATTTAGTCTTTTCCTTATCTAATTATTCTAATCCGTTTTTAGGAGTTTAATTGGGGTAAAGTCAGATTTCAGTCCGTTTTAGAAAAGTGAATTTCACGCTAGAGCTTGGAGAAAGGAGAAAAGAGAAGAAAGAAGAAGAACGTTCAAGATTCGTCGAGATTAGCTTGTGGATTTCGTCGGGGGTGATCCCTACAAGGTATGTGAGATCACATAGCGTTGGGTTAGGTCACCCACTTGCCAATCATGATTTATTTCAGCAAAATTTAAGTTCTTGAAAGCTTAGAAATTGAGTTCCTGATGGATTTGTTGAAGTTCTATTAAATTATTGATTTGTTGAAATCGTTGAGGAGTTGTTTGATCCGAATCCGTGATTTTAGGTTTGATTTTGAGTAGAATCTGTTGTACTTTGAACATTTAATCAATTCTAAGTATTTGGGGAAAAAACCCATGGAGTTTAGAGTTGGAAAATGAAGAGGAAATTTCGTCGGTCAAATGTTGGGGCCCAAAATAAAATAATCAAAAATTACCCAAACCCATGCACCAGATGTTAAGCACTGGCGTGAGATGGTGGGGATAGAACTCATGTCCTCCAATTAAGTCGTCAGGATTCTGTGAAGCTCTTAACGCGAATTGGTTAGGAAGATGAATTTTGGTAGCGGAGAAAGGATTGAACAATTGACCTCTTCTCCATCTAATGATTGGGTGAGAAGCCATCCCATCTGATGAGTTGGGAAACAATCTCGCCCTTTAGCCTCTGGGAGGTATAATTTGCGTGAGACTTTACCTTTGGAAAGAGAGTAAAATTATCGATAATAATTATTTTCATGATCATCAGGGAGCATTAGCAAAGGAAGTTGGGGAGAAAGCACAGCGAAATTGTCCTTGGTAGAAGCTGTTCGCCATGAATTACAAACACAATCGGAAGCAATGAAATCTTCAATCACTTTAATACGATTTGCAATCAGAACAAGGAGGTTATGGGGCAATTATGTCCAGTCCGCCATAGGTGTAACCAACTTATTATTAAGGATACGTAAGAAGAAAGAAAGAATAGAAAAAGAGTGCCCAATTTACATCAGAAAATTCACGAGATTATGCACTTCTCTTCTTGATCTAGCCTAGACCAAGAGGCTCGACTAGAAAGGAATAGGCGGAGAAATTTTGTGTCATATATAAAGGCGGGGCGTGAGACGAGGCGTTTTACTTAGTATAGGGTGAGTTGTAAGCCTCGAGACTTGGGGCGTAAGCCCTATGGATCTTAAATTTTTTTATTTATATTATAGTATAATAATATAATAACACAAAATTATAAAAATAAATGAATAGTTTGAAATAATTACAAATATGATTAAGTAAACTAATAGAAAATAAAAGTTCTAACATGATTATACAAGTATAAATAATCTAATATCGTAACTTTCTATCAATAAAAGAATCATTGTTTCTCAAAAATATTTTTTTATCATACTATACGATTTACCCCCTAAAAGAAAATAATTAATAGCCTTACTAGTATTATAATAAAAACATCACTCCATACTGAATAAAAATAAAATTACTTTCAAATAGCTAAATAAAATACAATAATTTTGAGACATATGACAAAACCATGAAGACCAATGATAGGTGAAAAGGTAAAATTAAGCGACGTATTTATAAAAGAAATGTTATGTAATATGTAATTACTTTCACAGTGTTACCAAATAAGAACGTTATTATCAATCTTCTTTATCTCTATAGATTAAAAATTATTATGTATCATTCAATTATTCAAGAATTATGAGGGTCAACAATGTTAACTTAAGATTTTAACACATAATTTGTGTAAGATCTGTTAGGCGAGCCTCGACCGTTGAGCGTTGGGCGTGCTTAGAGTGTACAGTCGGGCTCTTAGGGCGTATGTCTTATAGAACTAAGCCCCACACTTGAGACTCAGAGCGCTTTGCTAGAGTACCCCCTAGGGCGAATCCCAACAGAGTTTTTTAAAACACTAATTGGAGTTGTTAATAAGACTAATTATAAAAAAGTTTCAGTTTTTTTTCCGAATAATCAAAAAACCAAGTCAATCAAAATAAAATCGATCATGCTACAAAAAAATCAACACAATAAAGCAAATAACATAAAGTTCTTATTGAGTGAAATATGAAATAAAACAAATACTACAACTTAACTTTTAAATAAGTTACAAAACAAATAAAATTGAATAACCTAACTGAATATATAGCACACACAATAACTCATCCTCATAAGGATGGTATAACCCAAGTTGGCGGACAAATATGACTTAGTGATAATTCAGGATAGAAAGATTCAATATTTCCATCTTCAAGATTGTAACATCCCATGTCTTTTCCACCGCCACATTCCAAATGATAGTTTTGATCAAACCAATCATCAGTAAAATATATATGATTAGGCTTGATCACCCCTGTAAATTTAGTGGAGTCGATAGAAGTTGCTCCATTACATCCCACAAAAATCGTTGAATCTCCCAAGTTGTTAAGCTCTTTCATATTACCTTTCACTACATCTAATTCATATAGTTCAAATTTAACAGTTTCGAGAGCCCTGCTAGCATTTGAACGCCTTCTACCAAATCGGGCAACAAGTAAGAGTGCATCGTTTACGTCAACTAGATAGAACTGAGTTGAATGTTGTCGAAACAACTTCTTATCATCGTTAAGGTAAATTACGTTAGACTCAGGAACACTATTAGGTCCTTGAAAATCAATAATACCTAATGCACCGCTCCAAGTAACAAGATAAAATTGGCCCTTGAAGTAAATCATATCGGACACTCCACCTACTCTGTGACCGATGCGGAATTTATTCCAATTGATATCTCCAGGTCGCCAAAAGGCTAAATGATTAACATCTGTATTATATGCAATGACGAGTACATAATCTGAAGTAAAAGAAGGATTAGCAGATAAAATAGCATTTCTGATGTAGTTATACTCTTCTTGTTCGATTAATTCCTCATCTTCATCAATTAGGGCAAATTGATTAGGAAGTCGAATTTGGGTACGGGAGAAAGGATTCAACAAATTAACGTTTTCTCCATCGAATGATTGGGTGAGAAGCCATCCTACCTGATGAGATGGGAAACACTCTCGGCCTTTAGCCTCGGGGAGGTACAATTTGCGGGAAACTTTACCCTTGGAAAGAGAGTAAAATTCTCGATAATAATTATTTTCATGATCATCAGGGAGCATTAGTAAAGGAAGTTGGGCAGAAAGCACATCGAAATTGTCCTTGGTAGAAGCTGTTCGCCATGAATTACAAACACAATTGAAAGCAATGAAATCTTCAATCACTTTAACACGATTTGCAATCAGAACAAGGAGGTCATGGGGCATTCCTGCCCAATCCGCCATAGCAAGGGATTGTAAGAATTGCAACAATTTGAGGGCGTTTTATATATAAGGGGACAAAGCAGGACTTTCCTTGTATTCACAAGGATTTGGAATAGAAAAAGGAAAGAGAAATTTTAGAAATAATAAGACTCTGAACCAAAATATATTATTTGAATCTTACTTCAAGTTCTATCTATTCTGTGTATTTTGTATTTTCTATATATAGAAAACTAACTAGTATTCAACCAAATTAAACTAGGACTAGAAAAAATCTATTCCTATATAAATTAGGACAAACAAATCTTAACTAGACATAATTAAATAAATACCAAAAATAACAAATTCTAAACAACTTAGAAAACCTACTCCAACTTCTAATTATTATTCCAATATAGCTATAGTTTTAGTAATTGCGCTCCATAGCTATAGTTCTATTTGCTATGGAGGCTGCAGTTTTTATATTTTGCTTGCAAATATACAAATATGGTAAGTATATGATATTGATATGTATCGTAGAAGATAATTTTGATACATGATTAAACACACCTAATACATATCTGATACATGAATACATAACCATATGTATTGTGTCATCTTTGTATTAGGTGTGTTTAGTTATGTATCCAATACATAACAATGAGTGCTATATGTATTGACAATTTCCATTCTTGAATAACTATCAAATTAGTCAAGAAAACTATGAACTATTATATTCAAAAAGCATGTCATATAAATTGAGATGAGAAATCGTTACACAGATGTTACAAAAAGTTTAACTCAATAAAACAAATAAAATAAAGTTCTTATTGATTGAAATCACGAAAGAAAACAAATACTATGATAAATTGCAAAAAACAACAAAAATGAATAAATTACTGAACATATAGCACAATAGCTCCTCATACAAGTTGGCCTCACAATGATGGTATTACCCAAGTTGGTGGGCAAATACAACTTAGTGGTAATTCAGGATAAAAATATTCAATATTTCCATCTTCAAGATTGTAAACTCCTGTGTCTTTTCCACCACCACATTCCAACGATAAGTTCTGCTCGTCCCAATCATCGGTAAAATATATGTGATTAGGCATAATCGCTCCTGTAAATTTAGTGGAGTCGATGGAAGTTGCTCCATTAAGACCCAAAAAAATTGTTGAATCTCCCAAGTTGTCAATCCGTTTCAATTTACACTTCATTTCATCTACTTCATATACTTCACATTTAAAAGTGTCCACGGCACTGTTATCATTAGAGCGATTTCTACCAAATCTGGCAACAAATAAGAGTGCATCGTTTACGACAACTAGATAGTACTGAATTGAATGTCGAAACAAGTCCTTGTTATCGTTAAGATAAATCAAGTGCGACTCTACGCGTCGGTCACGACTTTGGACATCAACAACCCAGATTTCAGCTCCCCAAGTAAGAAGATAAAATTTGCCCTTGTAGTAAGTCATATTGCAGACTCCACCATGTCTTTCATCCATGTCAAATAGAGTCCAATTGATATCTCCAGGTAGCCAAAAAGCTAAATAATTAACATCTGTGTCATATGAAATTACGAGTACATAATCAGATGTAAAAGATGGATTGGCAGATAGCGTAGCCAGTTTGATGTGGCGATAGAACTCAGGTTCTTCAATTAAGTCGTCAGGACTCTGTAAAGCTCTTAACGCGAATTGGTTAGGAAGATGAATTTTGGTAGCGGAGAAAGGATTGAACAAATTGACCTCTTCTCCGTCTAATGATTGGGTGAGAAGCCATCCCATGTGATGAGTTGGGAAACAATCTCGCCCTTTAGCGTCAGGGAGGTATAATTTGCGTGAGACTTTACCTTTGGAAAGAGAGTAAAATTCTCGATAATAAGTTTTTTCATCATCATCAGGGAGCATTAGCAAAGGGAGTTGAGGAGAGAGAAGATCGAAACAGTCCTTAGAAGAGGCGGTTCTCCATGAATTACAAACACAACCGAAAGCAATGTAATCTTCCATCACTTTAACACGCTTAGCAATCAGAACAAGGAGGTCATGGGGAAATCCTGCCCAATCCGCCATAGGTTTCTAAGAAAGAAGGATTGAAAAACTTACAAAACAATTGGAAGGATTTATTTATATTTATAATAAGTATTAATAAACCAAATCCTAATTTAAATCAAGGATTTAGAAAAGTCAAACTAATTACGGTAATCAAAGTTTCTCATATAAGGTAATATGAATTAAGTGATTTTATTTTTTAATTTCCTTGTTTTTTCTTAATAAAAGACTTGTAATAGGTACGACTGGACTTCATTTACATTCATATTTTGAGGGTTATCAATTTTTTAACAATTTGAGGTTCTGATAGTAAATTAATAAATTATAGGCTTAAGTCATCGACCGCCCCTTAAAGTTGTTCGCATAATTCACTTAGACACCTCAACTAAGACTTGTACCTATTGAACACCTAAATTGTTCAAAACATGTATCTATTAAACACAAAATGCTGATATGGCAAAAAATGTGTTTTGCACTTCCCTAAAACGTGTGAAAAGATTCAAAATAGTGTCTTTTTGAAATTTTTTTACATTTTTTCTTCTTTTATTGACACTTGACATTATAATTAACTTAAAAACATTTTTCTTCTTTCATTTACACTTTTTTGAAAAAAGAAAAGGATCCACTCTCTACCTATCATCTTCTTCATACTTTAGTTTGCAAAACTTTCTTCATTTTAGCTCCAACATTGTTTTTCTTTTTCTTTTTTTTTTTATAAAAAAAGGAATATTATTTCTTCCAAATATGAAGATAAATGAAAATCAACTATAAAGATTCAGATTTGAAAGTTCGTATGATTTATTTCAAATCTCATAAAAATAAGGAACAAATATGAAGAAGAAGAAGAAAAAAGATAAATGATTTTTACCTATAAAAAAAAGTTAGCCGATATTTGTTTATCACAATTTTCGAACAAAGATTTTTACTCAAATTCATATACAAACCCATTAAATTTATCAAAAATGACATTCAAAAATTTGAAAGAATTAATTTTTGAGCTATCAATTTCATTTTGTCATCGATGTAGAAATGAATAATCGCCGGCAAAATTTTCTTTCTTCTTCACTCTTAGTATGAAAATGTATATATATCTTTTTTAACAGTTAATCTTCAAGTTATTTGAAAAGAATTAGGTTTTGTGATTTGAGAAAGAATGTGTTTTGGGAAGAAGATGAAGATGAATAGGGGTTGGGTAGGGGTGGGGTTGGGTAGAATAAGTTGACATTTTCATTTTTTTCTTTTTCTTTTTAAAAAAATTAGATATAAAAAGTGTTTGAAATAATTTTAAACAAAATTATTATTTTTATAATTTACGGGGCCCAATGCCACGTGTTATTTTTTAATTAGCCGTTTTGCCACGTCACCGCAAGTGTATCACACACTCTTCATATATTTTGCTGATTATCAAAAAATGCCTAATAAGAACAATTTTTGAATTGATAAAAGTGTTCAATAGGTACTAGTCTTAGTTGAGGTGTCTAAGTAAATTATGCGGACAACTTTAAGGGGCCGCTAATGACTTAAGCCTAAATTATATTTATAGTAGTTCAATTTTATTAGTTTGTAGTATTAAGGGGTCGTTGGTAGGCGCACATTAAAATAAATAGTCCATGTATTATGTGTGGTATTATTTAGTACTATGTTTAGTAGAAATTTGGGCCTATGTATAACTAATCCATGGATTAGTTATACCTCCTACATGGTATTATAGGATGTATGATTAATACCTTTATATATATATATATTTGTATTTTGAAAATTTTATAAAATTGCATACATATTAAAACTACAACTTGCAATTTTTATGTATAAATGTAGATGATTTATTCAATTTTACTATTGTTTACCGCCTTTTCAATTTTTAATGTGATATATAGTTTATCTTTTTTAAATTGAAAATTGACATTTTGTAAGTGAACAATTTACTAAGATGGTAATAATTTATCCTCAAATAATTTAAATGGAAAAAAAGACAAACATGACAACAAAAATTTTCTTCTCATAGCTAGTTAGAAGGCCATAAAAAAATAATATTGTCTGGCAATTATTTACCTTAACTCAATTACATAATAATTTAAGGGTATAATCGAAAAGAACTTTTTTATAAAGTTTTAATCCAAACACAAGATGAGGTGGGAAATAATGAACCAAACACTTGATAAAAATAAACCCTGCATTATTAGTTTTTGTACCAAACAACCCCTAAATGTTAGTTTTGAAGCCAGTAACATTGATGCATCCGTGGATGAGAACTGATACAGTGCTTAGTAATAAACCCCAATAACTCGCAGTCTCGAATGAAAAATCACTTTCTTATTTGATTATTTGACAAGTTTTACTTGAATGTAGGTCGGTCAATTGAAGGGAGTATCGTTCAATCACAATGTAGAAGAGCTAAAAAATATTCTGGAATAGAGTTGCTATATGCTCTGTTTTTTTCTCTTCAGGTTTGCTGTCTATTGTTCATCCCCTAAAGTGTTGTATTTGGCAAGTTTGTGTGCCGCTTGGTGGCCAGTTTGTTGTTCATTGCCATCGTCTGTCGTGTGTGTTTCGAGTTCATCTCGGGGTATTGTAGTTGTCACCCTTATCACTTACCCCTTGCCTGCTTTGGATGAAATTATATCTGAATAGTATGCTAGTTGATCATATTGTTAAAGCTTTTTTTATTTATTTTTTAACTTGACTCAAAATTTATTTTTCTCGCCCTTTAGCCTCAGGGAGGTACAATCTCCGTGAAATTTTATCCTTGGAAAGAGAGTAAAATTCTCGATAATCATCTTTCTGAGGGAGCATTAGTAAAGGAAGTTGAGGAGAAAGCACATCAAAATTGTCCTTAGTAGAAGCTATTCGCCATGAATTACAAACACAACCGAAAACAATGAAATCTTCAATCACTTTAACACGCTTTGTAATCTCAACAAGGAGGTCGTTGTTCAATCCTGCCCAATCCGCCATAGGTTACTATTGGACGTCATTCTTTTTATATTTATAAACCAAATCCTATGTGAACAAGGATTTGGAATACGTAATCAAATTTTCTGATCATATTAGGTAATCAAGAGACAAGTGATTTTATTTTTAATTTCTTTACAAGTTATATAATAAAACAAACATTAAGATAAACCGTTGTAGGTGTAACCAACTTGTTATTAAGGATACGTATGAAGAAAGAAATAATAGAAAAAGAGTGTCCAATTTACATCAGAAAATTCACAAGATTATGCACGTCTCTCTTTAATCCTGCCTAGACCAAGAGGCTCGACTAGAAAGGAATAGGCGGAGAAATTTTGTGTCATATATAATTTTGTCCTAGATAATTCCTTCTGATTAATTGGAGTTGTTAATAAGACTAATTATCAAAAAGTTTCAGTTTTTTTTTTTTCCGAATAATCAAAGCAACCAAGTCAATCAAAATAAAATCGATCATGCTACAAAAAAATCAACACAATAAAGCAAATAACATAAAGTTCTTATTGAGTGAAATTATGAAATAAAACAAATACTACAACTTAACTTTTAAATAAGTTACAAAACAAATAAAATTGAATAACCTAACTGAATATATAGCACACACAATAACTCATCCTCATAAGGATGGTATAACCCAAGTTGGCGGACAGATATGACTTAGTGATAATTTAGGATAGAAAGATTCAATATTTCCATCTTCAAGATTGTAGCATCCCATGTCTTTTCCACCGCCACATTCCAAATGATAGTTTTGATCAAACCAATCATCAGTAAAATATATATGATTAGGCTTGATCACCCCTGTAAATTTAGTGGAGTCGATAGAAGTTCCTCCATTACATCCCACAAAAATCGTTGAATCTCCCAAGTTGTTAATCTCTTTCATATTACCTTTCACTACATCTAATTCATATAGTTCAAATTTAACAGTTTCGAGAGCCCTGCTAGCATTTGAACGCCTCCTACCAAATCGGGTAACAAGTAAGAGTGCATCGTTTACGTCAACTAGATAGAACTGAGTTGAATGTTGTCGAAACAACTTCTTATCATCGTTAAGGTAAATTACGTTAGACTCAGGAACACTATTAGGTCCTTGAAAATCAATAATACCTAATGCACCGCTCCAAGTAACAAGATAAAATTGGCCCTTGAAGTAAATCATATCGGACACTCCACCTACTCTGTGACCGATGCGGAATTTATTCCAATTGATATCTCCAGGTCGCCAAAAGGCTAAATGATTAACATCTGTATTATATGCAATGACGAGTACATAATCTGAAGTAAAAGAAGGATTAGCAGATAAAATAGCATTTCTGATGTAGTTATACTCTTCTTGTTCGATTAATTCCTCATCTTCATCAATTAGGGCAAATTGATTAGGAAGTCGAATTTGGGTACGGGAGAAAGGATTCAACAAATTAACGTTTTCTCCATCGAATGATTGGGTGAGAAGCCATCCTACCTGATGAGATGGGAAACACTCTCGGCCTTTAGCCTCGGGGAGGTACAATTTGCGCGAGACTTTACCCTTGGAAAGAGAATAGAATTCTCGATAATCGTCATCTTTCTGAGGAAGCATTAACAAAGGAAACTGAGGAGAAATCACATTGAAATTGTCCTTGGGAGAAGCCATTCGCCATGAGGTACAAACACCACGGAAAGCAATGTAATCTTCCATCACTTTAACACGCTTTGCAATAAGAACAAGGAGGTCGTTTGGCAGTCCTGCCCAACCCGCCGCCATAGCAGAGAAGAGAGATCTGGTATGTATGGGATTCAAGTCTAGGGCATACACAAGGATTGTAAGAATTGAACAATTTGAGGGCGTTTTTATAATAGGGAGGGAGACAAAGCAGGACTTCCTATATTCATAAGGATTTGGAATAGGTACGACTGTCAGGCCCATTATGTTTCGGACATCCTTTACATTCTTATTTTGAAAAGAAAAAAATTACTTATGATTCATCTCCTACAATATTTGGGAAAACTAAACTTCATGCTCCATATAAGCAAATTAATTAGGGGAAACTTTTCACATATAGCCACTT